GCTCCAAAGTAGAAGCTTTCTAGAGGTATTCACCAAGCAAGATTAAACCACTTTAAGATGTCAGTCTTCACTTGTATTAAGTTTTTCTTAAGACTTAATAACTAATAAAAAATTAATCTTAAGGAGAAGCAACTTATAAACCCTTAAATCATGCACCAAATTGCAAGATAGAGAGAAAGGAGAGAGAACACTTTACTCTTGGTTTTGGCACCCTAAAAAGAGAAGAAAAGAAGATGAAAAACTAGCTAGTTTTTTTTTCACTCTTTCTTCTTTATATACTAATACATATGTACTTAAGCACCATACCTCAAGAAGTCAAAGCATGGCCCATTCTATAATTAGTATGGGATGTAAGAAACACGAGTACACGACCATACTCAACCTCTAACCTCCTTGGAGGTTGATGGTTTTGGCATGAAAGTCATTAACAAGAGTGTGCCACACTCCATCTTATTAACTAGTAGATACATGTTCCAACTAGATGTTTACTCAAAGTGTCCACTTAATTGTACATGACTAATATATTCATATCATATGAATATAACTAGTTTCTTTTTTATTATCATTTCATAGAAATAATAATTTCTCAATTAGTTGTTAAAATATTATTTCCATAAAATAATAATTTTCCAATCAAATACAAGTGTTGATTTATTTATTAATAATCAAATTACTCTAATAAATATTCAATAAGTAGTATCTTGCTATAAGGTGTGACTTTATAGGATCATATGTCATTAGCAAATAGCATTATATATATATATATATATATATATATATATATTAGTTTGATGTTTAGCTTTGGATGGTGTATATCCAAAAGGGTGTGTTAAAAACATTAGTAATTATTAATAAGTCTTATTGGTCTCATAAGATAATATCAGTATATAATCTTCGACAATGTATATCCAAATAGGTGCAGTGTGAGATAAGAGAACTTAGGATAATGTACATCCAAAGAAATACAATATACCATATAGGTTGTTTTATTATAGCACCTACATATCCGATGTTATATAGGTTTGGGATCACCTAGGTGAAAAGTGATACAAGATGTACTTTTAGACTGCGTATATCTAAAGGGGTGTAATGTGAGGATGTAAAATGATGTTATAAATTTAGTATCTCTTAGGTGTGATGTGGAATGTTGGGTGATATATATAATGTATATTTCTTGATATTCATTGGTGAGGAGTCTGAATCATATAAAAAATATTATATGATAGAATATTCGGTGGTTGACGTAATTGTATGATTATACATGATTGGGTGTATACGAAGTTGGGTGAAAGGCATGGGGAAATTTTAATTAAGCGGGCATTGAATTATTTATATAATCAATGTTTTGATTATTATGCACAATGTCATTAGGGTTACTCACTGAGTTCTTTGTAGCTTACTTTTTTTGTTGTATTCCTTTCAAGTTCAGGTAGACTCGATAGAGAAATATGAAGTTGGTAGTGCGTAACTTGGGTCCTTGTATTGTTTTAATTAGTATGATAATTTTGATAACTACTTGTATCTAGTTGTTTGACATAAATGTACACCACATGGTTTTTTTTAATTTTGGGTGTACTTTGTGTTAAAAGTCGGGTATTATAAAGGTGGTCAGATCAGATCATTTTTTCTACACCAAAGAATATCCCCACATTCAACGTAAAATTGTTTACTCCCATGTTGTGTTTTTGGTTTGATCATAGTAAATCCGTTTAGATCAGTTATTGGGAATAACTTTAAACTTTATATGTTATTCCGTTGTTCGTTGGATTGCTTAAAATTGCTTTTAGATTAGTTTATTTCTAGCAATATTTGCACCACCTAGTTTGATTTCAAGGCATAAAAGATTATGATGACGGGAAATATGTGCATTCTTAATCCATGAGTCATAAATCACATATATTATTGTTTTTTTAATTCATGAAATCAGTACCACTTTGACTATAACATCACCCTTTACATATCTAAGCACAAAAATAGATCACTTTTATTTTAAAACGCAAAAGAACAATCAATTTGAATTGTCGAATTGTCGATCGCCCTTTCTTTCTTGTTTATTTCTAATGACATTTTTCCTTGTGTGTTAGATTTGATTAAAAATATGCAGTGATAATTTATTTGTCTAGTTGATCTGAGTATCAGATATTAATTCTGACTCATAAGAGATGGTGATTATTTGGTTATACGAAGGCCATGATGATTTAGATATATCATATACGAAGGACTTGATGAAAGTGAAGTTATTAATGGAAGACGGCGAAGAAGAATGGTGGGGTTGTGGCTCATCATTTATTAGTAATAATAATATAAGAAAGAAATTGTTAAATGATAATTTTATATGAATAAGATAGGGATGTCAAAAAGTCATGTGGGAACCTGTTTCCGTTGGGGGTATTTATTAAAAAAATCGGGTGCGGGGACAGGGGAAGGTTAACCCCTGTTTTAATTTCAGGGGTGGAGGCGGGGTGGGCAATTTCGTCCCGAAACCCCAATGGGGACCCCGCTAATAAATTATACATATATTTACATATATTAGTTATATAAATATAATAAACAATAATATGATTTTGAGCTTCCAAAATTCAATAAAAAACATGTTTTTAAATTGTCAGTATAATGTTTTTAAGATGTCATAAATTTTTTATTTTTAACAAGTAAAATTCTACTATAAATAATTATTTGGTACCTAAAAAACAACTTCTTTTAGCCCAAATAACAACTTCTTTTAGCCCAAAAAAATGCAGTTCAAAATCCATCGGAGGCTGAGGAACGGGGGCGGAGGCAGAGGTAATAAGGAGGATTCGGGGGCGAGGGTAGAAAGACTGGACATTTCGGGGGCGGGGGCGAGGACGAGGGAACGGGAAATTTAGGGGGCGAGGGTGGAGGATGCACTCCCCATCCTGTTTGTCTCCGTTGACATCCATAGAATAAGAGGATAAATAGGAAGAATTTGTTGATGATATTTATTTTTTTTTTACAATATAAATATAAATATAAATATAAATAAATTATAAAATCATATTACGCAAGATTTTTATTTTAGGTCATATCCGTAGATAAAAAAAAAAGTAAGACGACTAAAAACTAAAAAGATTCCATTTTAAGAACAAAACTATTGATAAAAAGAATAATTAAACTAAAAATTTTGAGCAACCACGTTAACCATTCTTGTAATTTACTCTTTTTTTATTAATATATATAACTAAATTTTTTAAAAACACAATGAGGAACAACTTGTTTTGTGACACTTTGGTACATGTTGGCACAGAATGCAATGCAGTGCACTCGAAGCAAAAGTCGGTGCAGGGAAGCAATCACTCGTACCTGCTACCTGCCACCAAATATATAGACTAAATTACAAAATTAATCCCTCATGTATTCATGGATATGCAAGTTTGGTCCATACATTTGTCTTGATATCCTTATCTTTCCTGTACAACTAGTTTGTAATGTTAAAAAGTCCTTCACATAACTTAATGACTAGGGCTGTAAACGAACTGAACGTTCAACGAACGTTCGTGAACCGTTCGGCAAGAAGTTCGTTTATGTTCGTTTATTTAATAAACGAACGAACATGAACACAAATTATCGTTCGTTTAGTTAAACGAACGAACATGAACAATGGTCTCGTTCGTTCAATTATGTTCGTGAACGTTCGTTTATGTTTTTCGTTTACATTTGTTCATATAATTTCATTTTATGTTCACATATGCTTAATTGTGTTTGATTTCATTAGTGTATTATATGTTTATTTATGTTCATATATATCTTCAATTATGTTTTTTTTATCTTTGTTCATTTATGTTCATTTGTTTATGTTCATTTAGCATGTTTACGAACATAAACGAACGAACATGAACAATGTAATTTGTTAAACAAACGAACATGAACAAGGAAACTCGTTCGTTTATCCGTTCGTGTTCGTTTATTTGTTCGGCTAACTTAAACGAACGAACATGAACAAGCCCCGTTCGTGTTCGTTCGGTTCGTTTACAGCCCTATTAATGACACTTCATCAAAAGGATCACATGATCCTTTTGAACTCTCTTGCTTCTCTACTTAAGTGAATCTCATTTTATTCAATACAACTTTTTCCATTGAGTGTATAAATAAGTAACATATAGGTTGGGAAAAAAGTATTGTATCTACTATCTACGTATAACTCACGTCAATATACAAATGATAAATAATTTATACAAGTGATTACACGTAATTCTAAAAGTCAAGAAGAGGGCGTCATAGATTCTATTTTTATCATAAAGGTGAACATGGACGAACGAAAACTTCTAATTATGATCAAATAATTTTTTCTCAAATTCCTTGGCATACACTTAAATAAGTAGGGACCCAAATGTCATTTTAAAATATGTATTTTGGTTATAAATATTATAAATTCATGTTTTAGAATGTCGTTAAAGTTATTGCTACCCAAATTTTTATGCACTTACAATTAACAAGTATTTTCTCTAAAAAAAAGACACCATACTTGAAAATGATTGTTATTTATGAAGTGATACATGTACTTGTTACAATTAAAAACAACAAAGAAATCAAATAGAGAAAAACCTATTAAAAGTTGTCAAAATCACTTGCAATTTCGACATTAAGTAGGCAAAAGTACTTCTAAGCACTATTTTAATGATTTAATCCCATCAAAACTTAACAAATTCCATCTCAAGATGCTTGAAAGGATTTATACCAGTTATTGTCTTATTGATGCTTTTAGGCACACATTCTTCTATTTCATCATTAATAAACTAAACAGAAGTGTTTATAAACTTATAATCAAGGGACCTCTTCAGCTATTCCTGAATAATACAGGGGTGAAATAAAAAAATCCTTTTAGATTTAATGTCGCCATTGAATTTTCTTACGAAAGAGCAAGAGCGTTAGACAGACTGTCTTTGTTGCTTTGTGGACTCGACAGTCATTTGCCACCCAATTTTCTATTCTTCATGAAGACAATCATTTAATTATTATGAAATATTTATTCATAAATCACAGAAAACCAAACAAACAAATCCACCAACAGCATTACTTTAATCCCCTCCTCTCTCCTTCACTTCATCATAAACTCCAAAACCCCACTCACTTCTCACCCTTCACACACGGAAACAGAGCAACCTTTTGCTATTTCAAGCAACCCCCACATAAATCCACATTTCCACAAGCTTGATTTCATCTGGGTTCTGAATCTCGTTATCAATCGAATCTCAAATTCCAAATCAGATCAAGATTCAAAGCTCTGTATCGTGTTTTGATTGAATCGAATTCAATTCACAAATATGTACGGGAGAGATCCATGGGGTGGGCCATTGGAGATACACAACGCGGATTCGGCGACGGACGATGATCGGAGCAGGAACTTAAACGACTTTGATAGGGCGGCGCTGTCACGGCCGTTAGATGAAACGCAACAGAGCTGGCTGTTGGGTCCCGGAGAACAGAAGAAGAAGAAGTATGTAGATCTGGGTTGTATCATTGTCAGCCGTAAGATCTTCGTTTGGACGGTTGGATTGATTCTAGCAGCCGGTTTCATCGCCGGATGCGTCACGTTGATCGTCAAAACTGTGCCTAGGCATCACAAACACCCACCTCCTCCTGATAATTACACTATTGCACTTCAAAAAGCTCTCATGTTCTTCAATGCCCAAAAATGTAAGTTCGCTTCTAATTTTATCCAGATTTTGATCTATTACCTGATGTTAATCTTCCATATGAATTCATCTCTGATTTGATGGTATCTTTTTATAAACATCAAGGTGTCGGTGGATCAATTTTTGCTAATAATGAATCAAATTCAACAGTTTTACTCGAGCTATATGTGAATTATTTACTAAATGCTGCAACTATTTGATAAAAGATTCTTATTCTGTAGGTTACACTTTTGACTTAACATGTCAAATGGCCTCATCTTTACTATAAAAATAGCCAGAAAAGTGTCGGCGGATCAATATTTTATTGAAGTGTTTAACAGTTTTACTTGAGCTTTCGACACTTATTTACCAAATTCTGCAACTTTTAATGACTGAAATCTAACAGTTATAAAAAAAGGATCAAAATTGCTACAAAAATGCATCGATATACGTAACGTACTACAAAGATGTAATTTAAATGCATTAATTTTGTAAAACATAATGAAAGATTAAATCTTTATCATGGAATGAGGTTGATCCGTCTCAAAAAGCTTATGTTATTGTTTCTTTTTTGTTTTTATAAATGCAGCCGGAAAACTCCCAAAGCATAATAACGTTTCATGGAGGGGTAATTCATGTTTAAACGACGGGAAAGCCGATAAATCCGGCGCCGTTTTAAAAGATCTCGTCGGCGGGTATTACGACGCCGGAGATGCGATAAAGTTCCATTTCCCAAAAGCTTTCGCCATGACTATGTTGAGTTGGAGTGTAATCGAATACAGCGCCAAATACGAAGCTGCTGGAGAACTCAATCACGTAAAAGATATTATCAAATGGGGCACCGATTACTTTCTCAAAACCTTCAATTCTTCCGCCGATACCATCAGTCAAATCGTCGCTCAGGTGATTTTTCATACCTAAAATCGTCTTACTTGCTCATGGTGTGATCCAATTGCTAAACTTGCTTCCAATTTTAGGTCGGGAAAGGGGATACATCGGCTGGGCCAGATGACCCTAACGATCATAGTTGCTGGATGCGACCGGAAGACATCGACTACGAGCGGCCGGTGACGGAGTGCTCGAGTTGCTCTGACCTAGCGGCGGAGATGGCGGCGGCTCTGGCTTCTGCGTCGATTGTGTTCAAGGACAACAAAGCGTACTCGAAGAAACTTGTTCATGGTGCTGCGACGCTTTGGAAGTTTGCGAGAGATCAACGTGGGAGTTATAGCGCAGGTGGAGCTGATGCTGCAACTTTTTATAATTCGAGTATGTATTGGGATGAGTTTGTTTGGGGTGGAACTTGGATGTATTATGCTACTGGGAATCAATCGTATCTTTACCTTGCTAGTCACCCCAAACTTGCTAAGCATGCTGGTGCTTTTTGGGGTGGGCCCGATTATGGTGTTTTTAGCTGGGACAACAAGCTTACAGGAGCCCAAGTACGTTGTCAAACTATAATTTTTTTTTTTTTTTTTTTTTTTTTGATAATTCAACAAAACAGGTTGTACTGTGTTTAGAAAACTTCAATTTTTTTCCCATCCAAACAAGGTGGGATATGGACTCGCTCTCGATCTCCCTTGTGTACAAAAGACATGAATATCATCCTCATCCTCATCGTCGAAAATAGCCCTAGAAAGTTTGTCCAGTCCTATCAAGTTCAATCATGTCCTATTCAGTGTTTGTTATACAACACAGGATAGGACACGATAAGACAGGACTGTACAAACTTACTAGGGTTATTTTTAATTATAAGAATAAGGAAATAACATTGACGTCTTTTGCACGCACGAGATATCAAGGGCGAGTCCCTGTCCCATCTTGTTTGGGTGGGGCAAAAATTTGAAATTTGTCCCATTGAGCAGTTTCAATCCAATGTATGCCAAAAACAGTGCAACCTGTTTTGTTTTGTTATTAAGTAACATACAAGAGCTTAACGAACAATAGTTTACTATAACCGAATCATTATCAAAATTGGTTAATTGCTTATTGCTGATGCAAATTGTTACAAATTTTAGGTGCTATTGACTCGGTTGAGATTATTCCTGAGCCCCGGTTACCCATACGAAGAAACATTGCAAACGTTTCACAACCAAACAAGCATAGTCATGTGTTCTTACCTGCCCTACTTTTCAAGTTTCAACAGAACAAAAGGTAACCCAACGATTACCCCTTTTTGTCTATAATATTAAGTGAATAGATGTTTTATATGAACGATAATCTTCATCTTCCATTTCAGGTGGATTGATCCAATTGAACCATGGGAGACCTCAGCCACTTCAGTATGTGGTGAATGCAGCCTTCTTAGCTACCCTGTTTAGTGACTATCTTGATGCTGCAGATACCCCTGGCTGGTATTGTGGCCCAAATTTCTATTCCACTGACGTACTACGCAAGTTTGCAGAGAAACAGGTACCCACTACTAAAACTACATTTCCTATTTCTTGTATTTAACATTTTTTTATATTATTATTTTCATGTCTATAACCTATTAACACACTTTCGTGTTAATCTCATAGATCAACTATATCCTCGGAGACAACCCAAGAAAAATGAGTTATCTTGTGGGTTACGGGACCCACTACCCGAAGCAAGTCCACCACAGAGGCGCATCCATCCCCAAGAATAGAGTCAAGTACAGCTGTACCGGAGGAATTAAATGGGAAAAATCCAAAAAAGCTAATCCAAACACCATTATCGGTGCTATGGTTGCGGGGCCCGATAGGCATGACGGTTTTCACGATGTCCGGTCAAATTACAATTACACAGAGCCAACCATCGCCGGAAATGCCGGTTTAGTTGCCGCTTTAGTGGCACTTTCCGGTGACCGGACAACAAAGAAGATCGATAAAAACACTATTTTTTCAGCGGTGCCGCCAATGTTTCCAACTCCACCACCGCCGCCAGCACCATGGAAGCCTTGAGTGGGTGGCGGATGGAGTGGTGAACTGGTGGTGATGTGTTTTATGGTGTGTGAGTTATAGTGAACAAGATTTTGCTATGGTTTAGTTTCTTTTAGGATGGGAAATGAAAGCATGTGGTCGGGAGGTGTGTAGCGATTTACTTCTGAAAATGATATCCCGTAAATGGAAGTGTATGGATGGTATACATATTATATATGTGTTTTTTGAATGTAACAAAAACGATCAAATGTATGTATAATTCGAAACAATGAACAGTTTGTCACACTCGTGATTGTTTTTAAATGAAATCTCTGGGTTTTCAGTGGTTTTCAATTTTGTTACGGAACACTTTGGATCTTGTTATTGCCGATTTAAAAACAATATCTGTTAACTATCAACTAATCTTGAGACGATCTCTTAGGCTGGAGGGAGTGGTGTCACCGAAACAGCAATCCCTTCACCGCCACATAAGCGTCACGTCATTTTTTACCACACCAGTGTGGTTTTTGCCACACCAAGGGAGTGGTGCCACACTTTTATTTATTTATTTTATTTTTTTGTTTTTTTTAGCTATTTTAATTTAATAAAACTTCTTTTTTAACAAAAAAAAACATAATTTTAAAAAGATAATATTTTATTAATTAAAAATACAAATACTATATATTGCTTAACTTAAAAAAAAACCTAAAAATTTAGAAAAGCAGATTAAAAACATAAAACCTACAACTTATTAAAAAAAACACCAAATTCGAGGAAAAGAATAAAGATTTTGGTTGAAGGTTTTGTAAATAATGAAGGTCGTGTAAATAATGGTAATATATATATATATATATATATATATATATATATATATATATATTATATATATATCTAGAGAGAGAGAGAGAGAGAGAGAGAAAGAGAGAGAGAGAGAGAGTAAAGTTTAAAAAAAAAAAGAATTCAGTCTAGGAACGTTCAACGGTCACCAAGAGAATCAAGCACCAACCAATCACAGGCCACAGTTCTTTCTAGCCGTAGTGCGGCCAAGACCGCACGAAACCGCACCCAGGGGGCGGTGTTTGCGGTCGACGTGGCACGAATGCAGTTCCAAACCGCACTCCACACCGATGAGCCTTACGTACAGTGGCGTAGGCAAAGAGGGAGAAGGTAGGTCCTAGGACCTACCTTTTTTCTTTTCTAATGCATTAAGGATTTATCAAAAAAAATAAGGACCTATCTTATTTTTATCAAAGGAATTACCTAATTTCTTTTTTGGCAAAAAATTTCTATCAACAACTCATATCATTCATATTTAAAAGTTCACATCTATTAATCAATAGCCCAATCATCCAATGATCCATTAATTTTTTTTTAAAAAAAAAAAGGAAAATAAGAAATAGAAAATAAGAAACCGAACGTCGTATGGTGTCTTGTTCTTAGCTTCTCGATGTCCCTGTTCCGAAATCGATCACCATCCAACGATCGTCGGCTGCTCCGGTCACTGTCTGGCTAGGCCGTCGGCGTCGACTTCCTTCAGCCGTCCAACGACAGTCGACAGCAGTCCAGCCCATCAGTTTCTTCTCCCCCAACACTCAACCAACAACCTCGTTTCATGCTTGTATGTTATACAAGTTTAGATTACAACTTTCTTTTTGTTTGAAATCGAAACCCTTTGTGGCTTTGTATGATTAATGATTATATAATACATATCGATTTCATTGACCTATTGATCAGATTTTAGAAATCAAAACCATTTGTGGCTTTGTATGATTAACATTTGATTAATATACATTCAATTTAAAATTTATTTAGAGTTGTTATTGTCTATTTGATATAAGAACATTGTTCAATGTGTTAGTTGTTATTGTTTATTTAGAGTTGTTAATTTGTTATTGTCTATTTGATATAAGAACATTAAATTTCAGAATCAAGAATCAAGATTCAATCATTCAAAAATGTCTTTGTATAAGTTTTATAAAAAGAAAGAAGATAATGAACGCCAACATAAATATAAATATACGAAGGTTGATTTAAACTCACTACCCGTTGATCTATTTGAACGACCAAGTATAGAACCCGACCCGCATACAACCCGACCCGTCACCACTAGTATTTTTTTAGTTTCATTTATATAAGGAACCACGTGATTTTTGGTTCTAGATTTGTCACTGCTTATGTACCCCTTAAGCAAAATGGTAGACGTCACATTAAAGCATGGGAGGTATAAATGAGCAAACCAAGTGAAGATAACCCTTTTGGTCGATCTGTTTATAAAAAGAATCTATTATGTAACTAACAACAATAAAAAAATTATTAATATAGAATATAGATCATACAATAACTTTCAATAGCTTTTAGTTAACAACATAAATACATATTTAGATAATGGTTAACTAATCAAAAATATGTTAGAACACCCACATCTTCTATTTCGTCAAAAAGCTTTCTCATTCTGATTGGTTTGCATCCGGTTCATCATGTCTACGTCTTAAAAAAAATTTGGTTGCTTTGATATGCAATTCAAAAGAAACATTATCATATACTCGAGGACGGGTGTCCTACGTAAGACTATTAGGTGTGGTCAACATGCTATTACATGTTATCACACCCAAATTGTCCACCACATCATCCTAGTCACAATTTGGTGTTATAACACCAAATGTGGAAATAGACAACACCAAATAACATGGGATAACACATACTATTTTTTTTTTTTGATGTTTTTAATTTCTATTATTCTAATTTGTTTTATTTTTTTATTTACTTCATATATTTCTAATTCGTTTTATTTTTTTATTTATGTCATATAATTTAAAAAAAAAACATTGACAAACTATTCTTCGTCCAAGTATTTGCTCTCGATCTTTGCCTTCATCCTCCGTATCACTTCAGCTCGTCTCGGTGGCAAATTTTCTTCGTTTGTCGTAAGAATTGTCAAATCTTTCGATATGCGATCTTGTTCGGCTTCTTGACGAAGGAAATCCAAATGCTCTCGTTGCAATTCATATCTTTTATTTGCGATTTCCGTGTGGGCGTCGAATTTTTTTTTCATGTTCTCGAAGCCGACTTTCATTCTCCTGCGAATGTCGTTGCGCGCGCTTGGCTTTGTCGCGCCCCATCGGTCGTCGTGGCGGAGAGATTTCCTCGATGTCATCAAACTCGTCCGGGATCTCATCGGTGTCCGCGTTGAGGTCGATGTTCGTGTGTCCGTCGGAAACGTCAACCGAACCCGAACCACGAGACCTCTTTAATTGTTGTTCCGATGATGTTGGCGTTTTCATCCATTTTGGATCTTTCCTCACTATCTCCCATATTTTTTCATACTCAAATACGTGACCCATTTGCACGTGATATTCCTCCCTCGCGGCTCTAAACACATCGAAATCATTGGCACCACTTTGACGTTGCGAAGAAAGTTTGTTGTATATGGAATTGAATTTGGTGCACTTCCGGCTAATTTGAGTCCATTTGCCACTAAGCATATCATTATTGCGATATGTGTCACCATTGTTCAAAATTGTGCGGAATTTGACAATTACAGCATCCCAAAAAGCAACTTTCTTCATATCTTTCCCCACAGTTGGTTGTTTTGAAGTACCGCACCAAGCCACCGCCAACGCATGCTCTTCCTCCGGTGTCCACCATGTTGGAGGTGCTTCCGTTTGATCCGCCCCGACAACGACCTATTTCCATTTCTTTTTTGGTCTCCCTTTTTTCCCGATGCTTTCTGACTACCCCCGGCTTGCGTCTCGACAACGGTTTCTTGCGTGGGTTGGGGGTTGTGTGATTGTTTGGCGCATGGGATCGAATATGTTAAAAAGGTTTTGTTGAATGTTTGCATTTTGTTGCATAAATGGTGAGATAGAGAATTGTAGTGGGGGTAAGGCCGAATTGAAAAAATTATCGGAATATGGAATTTGTGGTGAGTTTTAGGAGTTTAGAAGGTTCATGTATCCCTCGTATCCCGCAAAACCTAATGGAGTGGATGTGTTTGTGTTCGGAGGAGGGGTATTCGGGCTTTGATCCATAGTGGTTTTTTTGTTTTGAATGATAAAAGAAATAGAGATAGATATAGAGAAATAGAAGTGTAAAATGAGGTATATATGTATTGATATAGTTTAAAAAAAATTAAGTAGTAATTTTTTTTAGAATTTACCGTTTTTAAATGGTAATATTACCGTTTTTCAACGGAAAAGAAAATGCAACGGTCGAAAAAATGGCGTTAACATCCGTTACCATGATAACGCGTCATGGCGTAACGCCCCATAACGGGAGGGTGGGGTGGTGTTTCCACGTTATGGCGCCGTTATGGGGGCGGCCACGTCAGATAACGCCCTTATGGCGTTGCCCACACCCGTCGCTCTAACATGCCTGAGCTTTTGAACTTCTAGAATCTAGGCTTCGTTTCATCCGGGAATAATGACTTATAACAGTTACTAACTTTAAGTTCAAATCCAATTGTAGGTGTCTCTATTTTTAAGGGAAGGATTTAAAATCTAAGGGATAATTATTTCCTTGGTAAGTTCTTATCTTTGATAATTATCTCAATATCAAATTCTTACACTAGACCCTTCTAGATCTATAAGTTTCATTTAATTATCTAAAGACTTAATTAATTAACAAAACAAATTTCTATTAATATTTTTCGACTAATGTTACATATATTTGCTCTTGCATGTAACCCAAAAGGACATTATCATTAATATTAATATTACTAAATAGTTGTAAGTGTCATGGATAATGAGTCAATCTCGGTGTTCACGATTATGTTTCTTGATAGAGATTTGTGATGATCATATCAGACTGACTACTGATCTTACCAACTCGGTCTCATCTCGGCCAAACATTTGATTATCACCACCAAATCATCGAGGGGAAAAACATTCAAAATGGAACACAAAAATATATTAATGTAAATGGTAGCAATACCTTATAATTAAGTCTCCACAAAATAATCACCAAATCAGATAGAATATATAAACTATATCAGTTTTAAAATATCAAACTATAAAGTAAGTAATCAAACCAACTCACTAATAAGTCTAATGCATATCGATCTAGTATGACCATCCGTGAAAATGGTTTAGTGAACAGATCAAATTGGTTTTCTTCAGATGATACATGACTCACTATAATGCCTCCCTTTTCTACGAGCTTCCTGATGTAGTCGAAATTTCTGAGTATGTGTCTTAAGCGCTTGTGACCTCAAGGTTATTTAGCCAAAACGACTGCACCCTCGTTATTGCAAAAGATCTCGACAGGATTAGTTATGTCAGGAACAACTCCTAGATCGATGATGAACTTCTTCAACCATGTT